CATACATAGATATATCTCTTTCCCCATTCCCTCTCCTGTTCTTCTCAACTCAGTTAACTCTTTGCTTTTGAATAAGTTCATTCCCTTTTCCCAGTATCTATTGTACTCCTCAGATTTCCATTTTCTCTGGGGTGGGATCAACACAGCAGGCTGGGGATCGAACCCTGATCCCTGAGCTCTCGGCCTAAGCAGGCACTTTGGTCCCCTGAGCTATCTGGCCGGCCCTCTCTTAATTTCTTATATATTTTTTTCTTTCCTCTTCAATTTTGCATGCATATATCTAGTAGTATGAGTAACTGGTTGGAAGACAACATTAGGCATTACAACAAATACTGTGAAATTCATATTACTTTGTTAAGTGAAATTCTGTATCATTTGTAATTTTTCTGTTTCAATACTATTTTGTACTCTCCTTATAAAATAGAAAACAACCAGTATGAAGCAAGCAGTATTGTTTTACATTTTTGAAAATCTCTTTCAGGTGTGGCTTCATGAATGGAAGACTGTTAGGTTTTCACACCTGTTTCTGCATTTACTGTTACACTTCCACATATTCCAAAGCCTGTGGAAAACTCCAAGACAGACTAAAGATGAAAAGTAACATTTAGTAGCATTTTGAAAATGGCTGTAACCTCAAAGCCCCTCTGAGATAGGACCTCTGGACTTACACTTTGAAAACTACTTTTTAATGGGCATCAATTAGCCAGTGTACGTGTGTGCTAATGAACTACAGTAGAGTAGAATACATTCTACTGGACTTGGTAAGGACATTTTGGTCAGACAACTTTTGTGGCCACTTAGCCCTTCTGTGCTACAGGTGGTGATCCTCAAATAGGTCTGTGCATGTTCTGACCAGCACGTGCAGTGCTATTCTGGAATGCAGGGTTAACAGCTGTAGGACCGATAGGACTTCAACATGGCCTAAGCATCTGTGCATAAACATAGCCCCCTTTCATCCCCAAAAAGAGGAGAGGGGAGGAGGGGACAGTTCTGAGTTCTCTGTTCAGTAAGCTCCTTAGAACATCTCCTAGGTCTGAGCTGAGGCAGTTGCCATGGCAATGGAGAGCTGAGGTGGTTGTCATGGCAATGGTGAGCTGAGGTGGTTGCCATGGCAATGGGCAGCTGAGTCATACCTGTCTGTGCCAGCTTGTTTGTCTGGTGCTCTGCCACCCACTCCTGCTCCCTTCGCTGACCGCCTACGCACCAACCTTCGTCAGAAGCTCTGCTTTCAGACGAACTTCCGGCTGAGATATTTTTGTTATATAAAGATTGTACATCACTTATAGATAGGGTCATGATGCATTTCTACGCCACATGTCTTCTTTTCTTATTTGTTTTGTTTGGTAATATTAAGGATTAAGCCCAGGACCTGCACAATGAGCTATATCCCTAAAACTTTAACTTTTTCAGGCAGGGAATCTTGATAAGTCATTGAGTTACTTGTTTTCCTATGCCTTCACTTCCCAGAGCAGTGGGTGTACAGGTGTGTGGTGCTATACCTGGCTGCATGTCAAAATGTAAAAATTTGAAAGAAACTATATTTTGCAATACGCCTGTTATATTTCAGGTCTAAAATGTTCCCTAGGAGTTCTATGTGTTCACACAGGTGGCTCTTGGAAGCTGACTGGGTCTCAGAACATCATATGCATTATTGATTAGGCCATAGCCAAGGCACAGGTCAAGCCCTGGCTATTCACCTTTACTTCAAAAAAATTCGGACTAAAAATAAAGGGATGTGAAGCAATATTTCACACTGAAATGAAACTAGAAATCAAGGGCAAAAGTACATAAAATGAGTCACACAATGAAACAAATTAAACAATTCCTATAATCAAATAATAAGACCAGTACAGTATACTAGAACTGTGGGACACATTGAGAACAGTCCAAAGAGCGAAGATTGTTGCTGCAAATGCCCACATGTCAGAAAAACAGAGCAAGTGAAAATAAGTAACAGTGATGCCACTCAAAGTCCCCGGAACCAACCTATCCAAATCCAAAACCAGCATAAGGAAAAAAATTTCAAAGATCATAGAAGTTAATGAAATAGAGATTTTTTTTTTTAAATACAGAGTCAAAAAAAAAAAAAAAAAAAAACACAAAACAGAGTCAAAACCTGGTTCTTCCAAAGAATGAACAAACTGGGTGTGGAGACACACTCCTGTGCCCAGCACTTGAGAAACTGAGGGAGACGGAGCACTGTGAGATCAAGGTCAGCCCGGGCTACAACGTGAGCATACCAACCTGAAGTACATTGCAAGACTCTCTTAAGAAAGAAAGAAAGAAAGAAAGAAAGAAAGAAAGAAAGAAAGAAAGAAAGAAAGACAGACAGACAGACAGACAGTGACAGACAGACCGCACACTACAGAAACCTTTAGCCAGGTTCACCAAAAGAAGGAAAGAAAAAACTCATATTAAACAATCTGAATTAATGACAGGCAACAAAATTGAGGCATTAATAAAAAAACAACTGACAAACTAAAACCAAAGACCTAATGGATTTACCACTAAATTTTAAAGAAATTAAAGGAAGCTCTAATGTCAATACTTCTCAAACTCTTTAATAAAATTGAAATGGAAGGATTATTGTCAAAGTCCTTTGAAACTAGCATTACTGCTCTAGTTCCAAAACCAGACAAAGAGACAACTAAAAAACAGAACTATAGACCAGCCTCTGTAGTCTGGGACACAATACCAATTTTGTCATAAAGACGTATTACTGTGGTAATATAATGATCATGTTCATTCTTTAGAATATTTCTGTTGAGTTAGTCATTTGAATTTTTTAAGTTTTTACAATAAACAATGAGTAGGAAGGAGAAAAAACTATCAAAAGATATAAAAATAATCAAATTTTTCAACATTGCCTTTTCTTAGTATACTGAACAAGGGGCTGGAGATACAGCTCAGCAGCACAAGCGCTTGCCTGGCAGAGCAAGATCCTGAGTTCAATCCCCAGTACAAAAAAAAAAAAAAAAAAAAATGGGCACAAGAAGCAAGGAAGGCTTGGGATATTGTGTTGAAAAAGGAAACCTGCTTGTCAGAAGGAATGTAAAATAGTTACAGATACTATAAAAATCATCATACCACAGTGATATATGTGCACCCGTGTTTATAGCAGCACAATTTGTCATAGCTAAATCTTGAAAGCAACCCAAACACCCATCAACTGAGGGATAAAAAAGATGCAGTATTTTTACATAATGAAGTACTGCTCACTATCAAAAAAAAAAAAAAGATAAAGTCGAGGCTTATGTAGATAAATGGATGTAAATAGAGACTGTATTGGTAAGTAAAGTAAATCAGACCCACATGTGCAAACATCGTATTGTCGCACTACTGTGAGAACCTGAAAGAGTAAATAAAACCTGAAAGGTACAACAGATACTGTGAAAGGGAAAGAACTTGTTCACTGGGAAGTAAAAACTGCAATGAGAAAAAAAGAGAAAGAAGGGAAAAATAAAAAAATATATATATGCAGGATAATTTAGATAATTGTACTGCCAATCTCTGCTAGTCTTTTGAAAGGGGCAGTTAATGCTTAATTTTTTTTTATTTTTAATTCTTATAAATTTTTATTGTTGTTGTTTTGTTTTTTAACCAACTTTGCACATTTACATCTGATAACCTAAACAATTTGAAGATAACATCATGCAATACAGGGACCATTTTTTCTTTCTGGTACTGGGGATCGAACTTGGGACACTGCACTTAACAGGCAGACACTTATGCCCCTGAGCTCTACCCCCATTCCAACCGCTGTTGAATTCCTATTTCTTTGTTTAGTGTAATTTTGTATCATTGCTAATGCTTAAAAAAAAAAAAAAACTATTTTTCATTCTTTAAAAAATAAAATTTAAAAAAAATCACTGTGGGGAAATCTTCAACAAAGTAAAAATATAAATTCCATTTAATGCAGCTATAGCTCCCCTAGGGATATTTAAAAAGTCAGAGATATCATACAATATGATACACGCATATCCATGTATATGGCCACTTGATTCACAATAGCTAAGCTTTTGAAACAGCCTCCATGCCCACCAACAGACAAATGGATAAAAAATGTGGTGTATATACATGATGTAATATGACAGAGCCATAAAGAAGAATGAAATCATGTCGTTTACAGGAAAATGGATCAAACTTGAGGCCATAATTTTAAGTGAAATAAGTCAGACAGAAAGTAAAATCTCTCATGGTTTCTCTAAAATTTAAACAAATGAAAGAGTAAAATAAAGTAGAGATGACAGGAAACAAAAAAACCAGCTGTTTTGGATATGAGGAATTAGAAGAAGAGTTTGAGGATGACAGTAAAGGTACTGAAATGTCCAACATGTATTATATACACAATAATAACGTATTGCAAAAGAGGAGCAAAATAACAGAAAGCATCTAAGCAATCATCAGTTATTATATTTTTGCTATCATATTTTTTTCCTTTTATTTTAAAAACGTCAATAGGTTTGATGTATTTATTCACATAGTGGATCAATCATCATCGGTCCCCTTTTGGCGTAATCAATATCATCGACTATTAAAGTAAATGAAGAACAGTATGGAATTTTATTTGAAAATCTGAATAGGTTTGGCATGTTTACTCACACTGCACATTAATATGTACTACAATGGCCAACTACCAAGGAGCAATGTCAAGAAAAACATGGATTATGACGTCCTCCGTCATCCCTGCTTCCAGCCTTTGTGATATTTAGAAGGCTACGAGCCTTCTTAGAGGCTCTTCATCTGGTTAAAAACACAACACAACAAAATAAAACAGAACAAAAGCCACCTATCTTGTAGATTGTTGGGAAATGCCAAGTACATACGATGCTTAAAATCCAACTGGCTCTCAACAATGGTGACCACTTGGGGTGCCACAGGCTTTTTGTGACGGTGGCCACTGGTCTGGACCCTGTGCTTCAGCTTCTCGAATTCTTCCCCACCATTGCATCAGCGCCCCACGGCTACCACAACAAATTCTCTCAAACGGAGCAACTTACCACACAGAAATTTATTGTCTCCCAGTTCTGCAGGTGCACATCTAGATGTCACAGGGCTGGAAACACAACGGAGGTGTCAGGAGGTGGTCCTTGCCGCATCGGGTTTCTTGTGGTTCCATCTGCTCGCGATAGCCCTTTACTCTGGTGTCAGCCACAGTGGTTTCATGGTGTTCTTCTCAACAGCTTTCAAATATCCCTTGGCCTCTCTTCTGTAAGGACACTTGTTGTATTTAGGGTCCATCTGCGTAAACCAGGCTCATTTCCCCAATCTGAGATTCGTAACATACATCTTCAAAGACTCCTTTTTTTTAGAAGTCAGGGGTGTCCAGCTCACGGATCTTGCGCCGCATGCAGCAGTGGTAATGCAGCTTGTAAGCGAGTCGCGCAAAATCAGAGTTTTAACATGATGCGATTTTTACAGAATTTCTTATGACTCAATGGCGCAGCGCGTCAGCCCAAGCACTCTGCAGACTGCAGATGCGGGGGCTCCTCGCTAGCTCCACCTCTTGCGTCCTGGCGCTCTAGCGCAGCTACCCAATCCACACACAGCAGCAACAGCGCAGTGCAAGGCAGCGCAATGCGCGGCAGCGCAGTGCGCAGGCTCCTCATGGTGAAGACCCCTGCAGCCATTACTGCTAGTGGCATGGCAACCTACCTATGTGAGTGCGTACAAGTGAAGATAGGCCTTTACTGTCCTAAGTAGACGTGTAAGTTTTCTTATTTTATTATTCACTTACAGCTTACGCCATATTGTACTGTAGTGATGTTCAGGGATGCCAGGGAAGCACTCAGGAAAGGCAGACTTGCTCACTTCCGCGGTCCTTGGCTCTTTGTGCCCTTGATGTAAGAACTCAGTCACAGGTAGAAGAAAATACGTACCTCTTACTCTGTTATATGTCAGATGTGCCAAGTCGGCGGGCCCACAACCCTGAGTGAAGTCGGGAACCAAAAAAGGAGTCAGGAGAGACTTGATGAAAATAAGGAAAAGGGGCTGGGGTTAGAGATCAGCGGCAAAAGCGCATGCCTGGGAATCCTAGGTTCTGTGTTCAAACTTGGTAAATCCCCACCCAAAGAAAATAAGGAGAAAGACACTTGCTCCCAACTTCCACAGGGTGGCCACCGAGGCCATCCTTAGGGAAACTTACTCAGCGGACTCACTATGGACGTAGCGCTGGTCACACCGCCATCAGCCTATGGGATTCAAGGTATGGCTGCTCAGCTAATGTTGATCCAACAGGAAAAGGAGTTACGTAGCACAGATCGGTGAAAATAAAAATGGTATTAGAGCTCTGGCCCCACACCTGAGCAACTGGTACCCATCTTGATTTACAGGAGCAAGTACAAGTGATGCTACTTACAGTATCATTTCAAGTTCGTGTTTATCCGTTGGGGGGTATATAGAAGGAGCTATGCATGTTAATTTCCAGGCCTGGGCTTCTTTAGATGCACCTGCAGACACAGTTTTCATAATTTTATTTTTATTCTAACTTCCCCAGGAGCCCATTAATTCTCTGACTGTATATTAATTTCCAACGAATTTAGCTGCGTATATTAAAGACATGTAGGCTGTAAAATGTAGGCAGAGCAGGTTGTAAAGTAGATAAAGACTTCATCATTAAGGGACAAAATGGGAAATGCCACGAACGAAAATGCACTGAGAGCAAATCTGGATACAAATCAAGCACCCAAGGGTGTACTTACTCTTCTGGGTCTGGGAATGGGGAAAATTTTGATGCTTACCAGCATTATACTTAGAGGTTAAACTAAGCCTTACTACTCTGCCATAAACAAAGAGAACCTGGAGAAATTCTAAAGTAAATGGATTCACCATGAGACCATAATGAAAAGTGAAATAAATCAGACATGTAAATGTTTCATTATTTCTCTAGTGAAAAACTAAAACTGTAAAGAAGGACAAAAATGTGTAATAGGTACTGTCAAAGAGTCAGAATATGCACAAATCGGAAAAAACGTTAACAGCGCTAGCTGTACGATCACAGGTGAACACCCTCATCATTTAAGACAATTGCTTATAACTATGCCAGCCCCAACCTTTTAATTTTTAATTATATTAACTTGGGTCTTTTTTGCTACAGCTGGCTAAAGGTTTGTCAATTATGTCATTCTTTCAAAGAACAAGCTTTTAGGGCCAGGAAGGTAGCTTAGCAGGTAGGTTAAGCACCACCTGGCAAGCACCAGGCCCTGAGTTCAGTGCCCAGTACAAAAAGAGAAAGCAAACAAATTCTGGATTTCACTTTACATTGTTCTTAGTATCAATTTCATTAATTTGTTCTGCAATCTTTTATTATTTTTACGACTGTGTGTGGTAGCACATGCCTGTAAACCCACAACCTCAGAGGCAGAGGCTCGAGGACTGCTGATACTTCAAAGCCAGCCTGGATAATGCGTTTAAGGGCAGCCTGAAAAATAGGGCATGGTCCCGTCCCCAAACCCAACCCCTGAAAAAGTCATGATCGATACAATCTTCTTGACTATGTTTAGGAGGCTGATGGATCTTCCCCGAAGACTGAAGTGTCTACACCATAGGGCTGAATGATCTGAGGCAGAAGCTGAGGAGTCTACACTCAAAAGTCAGGAGATCCCAGAGTCTGTGGAACGTGAACAAGCCTAACCGGTAGCCTTTGTCATTCAGGTAAGACAGGAGGTGTGACTCAAAAACAGGAGTTGTGTCTTCACTAATAGCGCATTTCTCCTGGTACTTACATGCAGGGATAATGGGATGACCAGATCTTTAAGAGAAGTATGGTATGTTGGTGGTACTTTGCTAGGGACTACATCAGATCTCTGTAACAATTTTCAAAGTATGGCCATTTTCACAACTGTATCTGTTAATCTGAGCACAGATGTGACGTTCAATCATTGTTAATCAGCTATTCTTGTTCTGAAAATCTGTAACATATGTATTGTATGTTACCCTGTTTCAGTGTTTGTTTTAGGGGTTTTTTTTGCTTTTTTTTTTAACTCTACAAAAGAAAAGAAAATTATAATTAAAAAAAGTAATGGATCAAAGAGGATGGAGAGGACCAAAGAAAATGAAAAATGAATTAAGACATGTTTTGTACATGCACCAACTCCATATAACAAATGTAATCACTGTGTAGCAAACACGTACTAATAAAAATATAAAATTAAAAAAACAGAGAGAGACAGAGACAGAGACAGAGACAGAGCTATAAATACCCTGAGTAAAAAGTTACTGGCTATCTCAATCTTTCCAAATGCACACCCCTCTATAAGATTAACATGCCCAAAACTGATACACAATCAGGGGCCAGTTGTTATGCTGTTGGGCACTATGGGAGAAAAATGGATTGCTCTGGTGAGAAAGCTGTAAGAAGACATGTACAGTACAGACTGTGGCATGGCAATACATGAGATGGAAAGAAACATGGATACGCCAGGCACGCCTGGTGGCACATGCCAACACTCAGGAGTCCCAGGCAGGAGGACTGCCAGAGTTCCAGGCCAGCCTGGGCTACGCAGGGAGACCCTATCTCAACAGAACAAACAAGGCAAAACACTAAGAAAAACCAGAAGCTTAATTCATGAGGCTAGTTATTTGTAAAAAGGAAAAACTGCAAGAGAGCAGCCACCATGACCAAGGAACAAACATGGAAACAGATAGAATACTATAGCAAGGGGAGGCCAGACTAACTTCCAAAACAGAACAGCCAAGTAACAAAAGTGAGAGACACCAAGGATCCAAGCCCTGCTAAGAGGAGGCCTAGGGCACAGCCCAACACAGGTGGCTACAGAGACACAAAGCCGGCCACACACCTAGAAAACCAGCAAACCCTTCCCTTGCGCCTCCAGAATATATTCCCACGCGAGGCAGATACTGTGAGACAGAAAAATGAAAGAACCCTCGCTACCTTGCTACCTCGTTGCGCAGAAGCACACTCGCAACCAACGTGGGCCGCACCTTGGTCTCCCCATTCTTGAGCTTTCTCTTCAGCCCAACCGGTTGGGTTCATGTCATGAGCTTCGCCCCCATGTTGGGGTATACCTGCTCTAAAAACCATTCAGCAGATCCTCCAGAAGCAGCACCATCACGAGCTCCGCGTGACCTCTGGTGTCTCTGCGGGCATCCACATCACGTCGGAGATCGCGAGAAATTCCGTGTACCGGTCCTCCGAGGTCTTGGCACCGCCCCGAGATTCTGAAATTGACAAGTCCCGCCCAGCGCTCCAGCCAGTGGCGTCCTGTCCACTTATTTCCCCAGCCAGTTGTTCTACCGGTGTGCTGGCACATGACACCTACCATGAACGTTTGGTACATGGCAGCGGCAATCTATCAGACCTGGGAGCTTATGAGCGCCTCGATTTCACGGCTTGTGATCGGATCCCTGAAGTTATTTCCTCTTGGTTCAATTCATATGTACCTGGGAATTGGTCCAATTCTTCAGGATTCTCCAATTTACTGGTTTGTAAGTAGGTGATCGCCTAAGTTGTGCCCAATGTGAGTTCACAGTTTCCTTTTCCTTTTTCTTCTCTTTTGGTTTGAGACATGGAACTCAGGACCTCATGGCTACCAGGCAGGCACGGTGCTGCTGAGCTACATCCCTGGCACCACCCTTTTAATTTCTATTTGCATTAACTTGGGACTTTTCTGGTACAGTTGGCTAAGGGTTTGTCCATTCTGCCATTCTTTCAGAAAAGGAATTTTTTGGGCCAGGAAGGAAGCTCAGCAGGTTAAGCACCACCTGGCAAACACCAGGCCCTGAGTTCAGTGCCCAGTACAAAAAGAGAAATCAAACAAGAAGTTCAGGATTTCACTTTACATTGTTCTTAGTCTCAATTTCATTAATTGTTCTGTGATTTTTTTATTATTTTTATGACTGTTTGTGGTAGCACATGCTTGTAAACCCAGAACCTCAGAGGTAGAGGCCTAAGTACTGCTGAGAGTTCAAAGCCAGCCTGGATAATGAGTTCAAGGATAGCCTGAAGAATAGGGCATGGTCCTGTCCCTAACCCAATCTCCTGGGAAAAAACAAAAAAAACACGATCAACATAATTTTCTTGACTGTTTAGGAGGCCAATGAGTCCTCCCTAATACTAAAGCATCTATACCACATGGCTGCAGGATCCAAGGAGGAAGCTGAGGAGTCTACACTCAAAGCCAGGAGGTCCCAGGGACTGTGGGAGATAGACAAACCCTACCGGTAGCCCTTGTCATTCAGTCAAGAAAAGGAACTCTGTCTCAGAGAGCAGGAGATGTGTCTGCGCTGTTTTATTGGGATTTACAGCTAGCCTAGGCTATAAAGTTAGCTTGTCGAGCCTGAAATGGGGAGGTAAACCCTGTCTCATAAAGGCAAAGAAATAATGAAACATAGATAGTTATGATGAATATGAGGGAAGAATATGTTTCAAGAAGAAAAAAAGATTTTTAAAATTTTGATAGGTGAATTTTTATAAGGATGATAAATTTGTCGTCGGTTTGCAAAGAAAGCAGCTTATGAAAATGAATTTTGTAGGGGCCGGGGAGATGGCTCATTGGAATAAGCACTTCCCTGGCAAGCGCAAGGGTCTGAGTTCAATCCCCGGATCCGCAAAAAAAAAAAGAAAAAGAAACAAATGAATTTTGTATATATTGTGAATAGCTGTGTTTTGTAGTGAAAAAAACAGCCCAAGTCTGCTGTTGTGGCACTTACCAATAATCCCAGCACTCAAGATACTGAGCACTCAGAATACAATTCCTGGAAAAACAGCCTGAGTACCTAGTGAGATGTTTGTCTTTTGTCTCAGAGAGACAAAATATTTTTAAAAAATAAAACAGCCCAAACAACCGTGCTAGAAAGGTTACTGGCTATGTTATCACACCTATCTTTGCAGTGGCATCTGCAGAGTTCTAATGGAAAGAGTAGAGGCTCTCGGGTTCTGGGGCTTCAAGGTCCTCTGGTTGTGTGCTTATAAACCTATCATGTTGATCCACTTTCTGCAGGGAGTGTGTCAGATCAACCTGTGGTCTGTCTTCCCCCACATGGCATGTTTGTCTCCTAACAGTTGTCTTGTGGAGAGTTTAGCATCTGTCTCTCTGGCACGTGGACCATGAGCAGGTCATGCAGGTGTTGCTCTGGCTCTCGGGGACAGCGCTCAGGCAGCAGTATTGGTTGTGCACTATGTATTCTAGCGCATGTTCC